GTATTTACCACAAACCACAAGGGAAAAAGTATGTTCTCTCTCTATTGCGAATTTTCAATACAATTTGATCAACAAATGATTTTTACCAACAAAAAGTTGTTGATTTCTACTGCAAGGCTACATAAAAAACCAATCATAATTACCAAATGTAGATAGCTCTATTGATTGTTTCCTGAGCTCCAAAGGTGGGGAAGTACCCATAAACCAAGGTTTGAACCTTATTTGGGAGGTAGTTCCGTCCCGAGAGAGCGATATGAGATTTGGTCCACAACTCCTCGATTATAGCCGCATACAACTAAATTAATAGTATTCAGTAAACAAAGAGCTAGTTACTTGCACAAGCAGAAAATGATCCTTTTTGTCATATATATGCCAAAACCACCACGTTGGATTAATTAGTGAGACATTTAGAAACATAATGTGAAGAGAAACCAAAAATTGGAAGTGTGAATCCTACAAATGGAGTAAGTAGGACGTTGGTACATCATGCGTGCTTGAAGAGTTTCATGCTAAGCCAATGAAAGTAGATAGCAACCAATAGTGCTGGTAGTGTCAGTGGAGCCAAGAAGCAGTAGTACCTCGAGATAGATGAAATCCATATACACAATATGTAACAGATGTGTGAATGATATACTAATTCGGACTCGAGAAACTAAAGGAGACTCTCTCGACTAATCTTACCACTAGAAACTGTATTTTCAAACCTATGACTATTTGGTACTAACAAAAATGATATAGATAAAGATACAAGCAGCAGCCCTGAAAAAGCTCACAAGAGTGTGTATGTATGTACCCGTCATTCTGAATTGCTTGGATTATGGGATTGTGAAAGAGCGGAAACAACTTGGAGACTAAAGCTGCAAACACAAATCCAATGAAGGAAATGGAACCAAGGATCACTAAGAAGCATCCCCAAAACTTCATTCTCAAGACCCCCAAAAAATTCTCATTGTTTCATTGAGAGGATCTGAAACAAGTGATATAGGGTAAAGTAAAGAATATGCTAATCATCAATTTTCATAAAACCCAGAAATCTGGAATATAATTTTTATGTAAATCTGGAATTGATACGAAATCCCTAAACTAGAATACAAAAGCGCGAGGACAGAACAAGGAACAGAGCTTTTACATGGACTGAGTGAAAGTGAGAAAGTCGATGGAGTGACAGAGAGAGACACACCGATGATCGCAAAACCTGGCAAAAGGGTAGACAACAGTGGAGAGTTCGGATCGAAAACCAGAGCCCATGTATTTTAAGGATTTGACCGACCGGTCGAACTGGTTAAACCGTAGACAGGCCGACCATCTTTCCGAACCGGCAACAAATTCTTTAGATGATTTTTTTAATCCTCTACATATTAATAGAGGAGACAGTAATTGAAAATCATAGGTGTCATCTAAAGAGGGTTTTAAGGAACTTTTAAGGAAAGCTATTAAAATTTCTTAATAACATTATTGTGTAAATAATTAGACCAAATTTATATCACATATACAATATATAACTATTAGAAAAATATAGAAGCAAGG